TTCAGCCTCTTTAGGCATTTTTAAGAAAACCTACAAAATTTATCTGAGTGAAAAATTTGTTGTAAATGGCTCAAGCCTATAATATGTATATTGTATTTTTTGTCCCTACAGAGGGCCCAATGAAAATTACTTTATTGTATATTGGCCTACCCTCTTTAAATAAAGTGTTAAATAAAAAATAAATAAAAATAATATCGCCCGTGCCAGGATTTGAAACTGGAATCTTCTGATCCGTAGTCAGACGCGTTATCCGTTGCGCCACACACCCTGTTCGCCTTTGATGCGTTTGCCTAACACCCGTGACACGTATTGAAACAATCGAAATACACGCACTGTTCACCTTTGATGCATTAGCTCGTGCAAATGCTCATCGGTCCCACCAGTGTTTACCAATCACACGTGTGAAAAAATGAAACAGATTTTGGGATTTTTATGACACATGTTTTTCGCAGGTGAGTTGCTCTATCGCAAAGTTAATGTTGTGATGAAAACATACATATATAACTTGAAAACTAACACATGTGCCATAATATCGAGCTTGCCAGGATTTGAACCTGGAATCTTCTGATTCGTAGTCAGACGCGTTATCCGTTGCGCCTCACGCCCTGTTCGCCTTTGATGCGTTTGCCTAACACTCGTGACACGTATTGAATCAATTGAAATACATAGGAAGTAAAAGTTAAGTCAATTGAATTCTGGATATTCAGAGTTTTGAATTATAATATGCGTTGACTGTTTGGCCGTAACGCTCGACGGTCACAATAGCGTTCATGGATGACAGTTTTGAGACATGCACATTTTTGAACGGCAGACACTCCAGCCGATTCATTTGACCTGCAGATGCTCACATGCTCAGAGGTCCCACCGGTGCTCACCAATGGCAGGTGTGAAAAAATGAAACAGATTTTGGAATTCATATGACACATGTTTATCGCAGGTGAGTTGCTCTATCGTGAAGTTGATGTTGTGATGAAAACATACATATAGAACGTGCAAACTAATACATATGCCACAATATCGAGCGAACCTGGATTGGAACCTGGAATCTTCTGATCCGTAGTCAGACGCGTTATCCGTTGCGCCAAACGACCTGTTTGCCTGTGATGCTTTTGCCTAACGCTCATGACAAGTACTGAAACAATCGAAATACATAGGAATTAAAATTTAAGTCAATTGAATTCTGGATATTCA